TATCCATAGCAATTGAACAATTTCTAACAGTATCAATAATGAAATCTGGACAAACTAATAGTTTGATTTATAACCCTAACAGCTCTAGATTTGTCTGTATACGCTTATTAAAATTCGTGCATAAATTAATTACACAACATGCGGCTTTTTGAGGAAACCCTAATAGTCTCTTGGAGTAAATAGAGAGCCATTTGATTCCACATAGAGGTCGTGACAGTAGTTATTACGAATAAAATTACTCAAGTTGAGTTTTGAATAAACTTAATATCAATAATGCTGTCAAGAATGATTGACAAAAAGAAATCAAGAAAATCCAAATGTTTAGTTTGCACTATTTACTAAACTTTAAGAAATATAAATCTCTCTACAATAATGACACTTTGATCTCTATCACCTCAGATCCAAACCCGTCATCGTCAACTATTTAATTAGCTTGATGATGAATTATATGGATTAGGGAAACGAAAAGGTTTTTTTTTTATTTATTTTTTCAAAGTTGAGACAGATGGATATTATATGTTACTAAACCGTACGTTGTCGTGTGTATTTGACATAAAGTTTCTGACTCACGTACGTCGGCCAAAGAATTTAAAGTTTCTTTGATCTGGAAAGGAAACTAGCTATACAAATTAATAAAAATAATAATAAAAATAAAAAAAGAATAAAAAAAACATGTAACAACCACAGCAGCAAAAAAGTTGAATTATATTAATTTTGTTCAACATTCGATAATAATTGCTTCGGTGATCAAATCAGTAGTAAGAAAAATAATTTACAGAGTTAAAAACAAACCCGCACAAAAAACAAAACTAGCTAGCTGCGGTTTTGAATGTCGCAAATTATTCTATTTTATCTATACAGTTTCGGACTTATAAATTGAAAGAAAAGAAACACGTAACTATCTTTTCATTGGCAATTGAAATGCAAAAATCTGTAGATATCAAAAATTCAAAACTTCTCAGTTTCTAAGCAAGTCAACTCACTATTTTTTTCTACAACACAGTTAATCAAAGGGTCCTCTGTAGAACATGATTAGGGCAGAATTCGTACGTGTTTTCATGCTAGGGTTACCCAAATAAAACAAAGCATCGTTTAGGCAATCAAACAATTCCATAATTTGGAAATGCATTTCAATTTGAACAGAGTTCTGATGTTTATTCTTGACATATATCAAAATCTAGCCACTGAAAGATGGACATATATGTACCTAAGTAGTAGAAAGATTAATTAAAACCAGATCTTTATAACATTATTATTCCTCTATTTCGAAATGATTATCCAAAATGTCGCATTTATCATAAATTCCGTTAAAAATAAAATTTAAAGACAATCATTAATTTGGGACCGTGAAACTATTACTTAGAAAAGTTTTAGGTATGTTCATGCAATGAGATATTTATAACATAATTAAACTGTTTTAGCTTTCATATTGAAGCAGGAAGTGGAGATACTTAATTTATCAAATTTAGTTCAGACTCTCACGTTTGAGGTTGTTTCTACTTATCCATTTTATCCAAATTTAGTTCAGCGTTTAGATGTATCAGTTTGCCACTCTTGGTCTGATATATGTAGGATTATCCACGAAAATGTATTTATACTGAGGCCGTGCATGGAAGAATCGAATCCGTCAATCAGAAACTATTGAGGTCGTGATTGGAATGGAATCTGTCAATCAGAAATTAAGAAAATATCTCTTTGTCCCAAAATTACGGTGCAGTTTGCATTTTCACTTTTAGTTTAATTTGTAAGAAAATAAAAAAATTCAAATTGAATAATAATTTTTAGATTGAAGGAGTACTTAAAAAGCAAGGTAGACAAGTGTATCCTATCGTAAAGCTCAAAGTTGAAATCGGATCACCCTTTTTTTTTTCTCTGTATATAAAACATTAAACTAATATTTTTGAACTTGGAATGGAATGGAAATTAGGGTTTGAAGGTAGACTGTTGACGTACATATTAGGGATGAAAACCCCTTGGGAATGGACATTGGCAACTGCAAAATGTGTCTTTCTTAATTTGCAGTTTATATAGCAAATTATTCAAGTAGCGTTAAATTAGTCTTATTCTTTTGTGTTCTTTTCCCCTTTTATAGACGAGGTGGTGTTTGCTGCACGTTGTGCAGCTTAAAGGGAATCATAGCCCAGTAAATTTAGGAATTTTTTTACTTCTGTTTTTAAAAGTAGAGACTGGAAAAATTATATAGTCGTCTTGATATCAAACTAATCAATTAGCTGGAAAGATTAGAAGATCGGGAAGGAGCATGAGGTTCTTCCTCCACCTGATCCGACAAGTCTGGGAATTCCTAACAAAATTACTTTGATATTGCATATAAGTTACAAAAATCATAATTTCATGTATATTTACACAAATACTATATATTATACAGAATATTGTTGATATTATATGAGGGCTGATGCTGAAAGATTAAATGAATCTGGCAGGCGCTCAGAAGCTAGAAAGTTGAAAACAAAACATTTTCCTTTTCAGAAGTAAGAGAGGTCCATAAATTGTGCTGAATTCCTATGATAATACTCCTTGTCCCACAAGCTAAAATCAGCTCGCACTTAAGTGAAATATTGCCATGCCCTTTTCTTTTGTGATATGTTTTTGAGCCTTGTCATTAATTCAGATGCATGTTCGAAATCTTCCTGGTAGGAAACGCGAAATAGTCTTTGCTCGATACATCACATGGTACATGATCTCACCAAAACTTGCAACCTTTTCTTGGCAAACCTAGCAGATCAACACCGAATCTTTGCGTGAGTGCATAGGCCGACATGATTAGTGCTAGAGTATATTTCCTTTCGTCCCATCTTCTAAACAGAGGGATGCTTTTTTCTGTCTATAACTTATAAGAATATGTGCTTAGAGAAAAACGAAAAAATCTAGGTTAGTTTAAAACTGAAACTTATCTAAGTTACTATGGAACTGAACTTCTTACATAGTCTGAAAAAACCAGAAAAGAAGTAAAGCTTGAATGAGAGTAAAACCATTGCAAAGGGGCTGCATTTTTAGCTAAAAAACAAAGACATAAGTATATTTTCAGTCCTTTTTTTTTTCAAGTTACATGTTCAGTTCATTAATACCTAATTGGTAACAAAGACAGATGTTGTAGTAACTTACTGCAATAAGAGCATTGACCCTGAAGAATGATCTCTTCTTGTTCGGGCATCAAGCTCTTGATGCTTGTTCTCTCCCTTTCCAAGTTGGTATATCAGTGACAATCAATAAATCTTTTTTCAATTATGGGACCAACCTTCAAAACTCTAAAAGAAGCATAGTTGACGGAATCCATTAGAGCAGCTCTCTTGCCTCTAAATTGAATTTTCTTATCATCTTCTATATAGCTATTAATTAGAAATTCAATCCCATAGATTCGCAACTACTTAGTTTTTCTAATATAAATTTAGCAATAAAATGCCCTCCACTAAAAAGAATGTAGATGGCTACTTTTGTAAATCAGAGAACACACTTATATCCCCGCCCATTGCCAAATTAAACATAACTCAAAGAAAAACAAAAGGAACTTACCTTGCAGTTCTCTAGGCCGTTTACTTTTGGCCAATTGAGGAACAGAAGAATCGCATGGCCATCAATTGAGTATAGAATCTAAAATTTATTTAGGTTTCAGATATTATCCCATAATAAAATTTATTGGGTTTACTTTAACGACATTAAGAAACAATTAGGATTCTAAGTTTCTAAATGTTGCACATATAAAATCATGGATCAAGAAAAGAGGAACACCAGAATTGAGTAATTTCTTTACATCCAAAACAGAGTTTAGATACGTTTAAAATTGAGAACAATTGTTGTTCCAAGAGGGGTTCACAAAATGAGTAAGGTAGATTCTTTAAGAAAAAGAATCAAACGCTTAGTGTGCAACACAACCAAAATATCAAGTTTAAAGTCCAACTCTGAGAATGATAACCACTAAGATATTCATTCTAATACTTAAAGTTTCAGAGTTTGAATTCTATGATTTTATATTAATCTGGCAAACAAAATCCAGTTTAGCAAAGATAGTCAATTGAAACTGAATCAAATAAAATTGAATGAAAGAATAACACAACAAGCATCTAAAATTACTCACCCATATGGCGCTATACCGCTACTGCCACAAAAGAACCAGAATGCCACCGGGATTGAATCCCAATTTTGAATTAAGGGAGAGCTTTGAATCAAAGGTTTCTAGCCTAGAGGCTTTGGTTCATTGGCGTGGAAGGGAGAGAGTTTCATATTTTAGGAGAAAAACGTTTTTAGGAGTTTCAGATTTTGATATGAGAAGGTAAACAATTTCAATTCTTGAATGAACCGAACCACTTGCTGTTCTTTCCTTCTTTTACCAAAGGCTCTCCTTCTCTTCGTAGATAATTATTTGGTGCGATGTTGCTAAAAGTAAATTAATATGGCTCTGCCGCTCTGCCTTTGATGGGCTGAATCTGTTGCGGAGCGACGGCAAAAGAAGACTAACCGGAAGAGGAAGTGGAATGGCCCAGGGCAACAGAGTTGTCCAGTAGAAAAGGGACACGTATTGTAAATTTGAAGGGGCCATCGTACCTAAACAGGTAGATTCCTGGTGAACTCGTCCTTATATATACGCAGATATGTATTTCCCCTCATAATACGGTGACAATTTCGTTTTAATTTCTATTAATTTTTTCCGTCCCAAAATTATTATCTAATTGAAATTTTTATTTTTAGTACAAAAGTGAAAATTCAAACTGGATAATAATTTTGGGACACGAGTGAATATAACTATTTTTACTCAGAAGTTTAACCTAAATATAAAGATGGTTAAATTAATCAAATGATAATGTGGGAGTGTGATATGTGCATATGTATGTCACTCAGTTTGATTAGCACAGACCAGTTTTTCATTAAGTAAGAAATCAGGATTGAATTGCATTCTGAATCAATTTTATGCAATACTAATCATAATAATAATTTAGAAATAAAAAAGAAAATAAATATTTTCAACTTGGAATTGGTTGAATCTCGTGGAGTCGCCCGTGGGCCTAAACCCCAGACGTGAACCAGCTCGACGCCCCGCGTTCGAGTTCGCCAACATTAACCGCACTCACGGCGTCGTAGTTCTTCCTTAAACCCCAGAAGTTACAAAACCCACCATTTTTCTCTCAAGGCTCCAGAATTCGATTCAATTCAATTCCAATTCTGTCATTCGTTTTCCATTCTGTTTTCAGTTGATAAAACAAACGATAAATGCATCGTGCCGGCAGAATCTTAGTCCATTCTTCAGCCTCTCCGTTATTCTCCCGCCACTGTCCCGGCCACATTTTGTCGCCACAGCAGCGGTGGATCTCCTCCACCACTCCTCTTGAGGCTTCATGGATGGACAAGATTAAAGGGGTCTTTACCGGTCAAAAGGGTTCCCCTGATGCCGCCTCCACTTATATATCATCTGAATCCTTCACCCTCCTCCGTAAGTTCCTTCATCGACTGCCTTGTTCAGTGTTGTTGTGTTATCCCTTTGGCTATTTCTGGAACCCAATTCAATTTCTGAACTCTGTGTCTGTTGGGGTTGATTTTCGATACCATCATCTTATGTTTGTTTATGGTTTTGTTGTTAATTATTGTCCTACCTTCTCGGCCAGTTTGTAATTTCTGAGGTTTCCTAGAATTATATGAGATGATCTTGTTATTGTATTTTTTGAAATGTGCAATGATGGAGTAGTGAAATGGTTATGTCCAGTTACTCGTTAGGATGCCAGTGGATACGAGTTCATGTGTCTTAATTATTAATTTTGGCACTGGAAGGTTATTTGGTCTTAGTTGATTTTTATCAGTGACGAATGTGGAAAAAGTAATGATGCTATAGCAGTATATATGTTGGAAAATTGTTGTCTCTCATTCCCCTTTAACATAAAAATATGAACTTTATATCAATGACAAGGGATTTTTGTGTTGGCATGAACCTCTGCCGTGCATATTAAGTTGTGGAATCTGAAATATGCAATGAGGAGAAATGGGTTAAGCGGAAACGGGAAGATGAATTCAAATGCTTTTATTGTTAAGTGATGCTGAGTGCTCATGATTTTTTAGGATTAACTGCATGTGTATATACACCCAGGTGTTGCTTGCCTTGGTGTGTATTGATGAACATTGTCAAATATGGGTCTCTTTTAAGGTTTTTTTGTTGGACTTGGATTTATTCTTTGTGATCTGCTTTTGTATACATTGTACTTGTTGTCTGTGTATGTGTTTTTGTGTTTATACATTGAAGTGATTTACTGAAACTTGGAATGTAATGGAAATTAGGGTTTGCTGATGAGTTGGGAAAAGCAAGGAAGTTGCGGTCATTCAAACAGTATATAGTGGGGCGAAGTAGTGAAGCTACATTTTCAGATGCTTTTGAGAAGCAAGAGGCTATTTTACGGCATCTGGCTGGATTTGATTCAACAGGAGAGGTGGGCTTTGTTTCTTTATTCCCTACCATTTATTGTGTTCGCTGCATGCTTGGTTTGGAAAATGTTGTTCTGGAAAATGTAAAATGATAACTTTTGAAACGTGACTGGTCTTCCTCTTTGGTCGGTCAGAACAACAAAATAATGCAGGGTTTGAATGAATTATATTTGTAGCGGATCCAAGGCAGTTATGCTGATCTTAGCATATACAAGAAAAAGTTAAGTAGATGATGTGTTGGTTATCTCCTGTATGGGTTTACTTAAAGATACGCGTCCTTATTGGTATATATGAAGGCTTCCAAACCTGCAGCCCTCTTCTCTATTTCCAGCTCTAGCAAAGGGGAGATACATAAAAAAAATTTCCAATGAATATGTAAAACTCTGTTTCTATTAATAACTAAAGATATTGGAAAAAAAAGATCCCCTGAACCTCGGAAATTAATCTTTTGTTTTTTTCTTTTCTGGTATATAGGCAACGTCTGTTGCCTTACTTAGCATTGGAGTGCTGCAGATGTATCTGTTGTTGCCACCATGCTCTTCCTGATTTTTTTTCTGGTATTTAGTTTCTTCTTTTGTGATAGGTATACTTGTATCTGTTGTTGCCATCATCCTCTTCCTTTTGAGATGCTTGTTACGAAAAATGAGATATTGTAGCTTTACATCAGATATTTTGGGTATTTTTTCCTGTTTCTTACTAGAGTCCTGATGCTGCACTAAACATTCTAGGTGGTGGTACTCTTGGTTTATTTTTGAACTATTCTCTCGATCCTAATATTCACGAATTGATGTTGTTATCTGAACCAAGTAATAACAAACACCTCTGTAGTTTGTCTCGTTTGGATTTCTTTTTGTATGGGTTGCCTTTACTTATATTTCAATCTGCTGCTTCTCTAGAACCTCTTGGTTACTCAAAAACAAGAAGCTGCAAAGCACTGCAATTGCACAATAGCTGATGTTGAGAATGTATTGGCAAAGTTTACTTGGGCCAAAGAAGCTCAGCGAAAACTTGAGAAGTTAAAGGAAGAGGGGAAACCTATGCCTAAGAGTATGGCTGAGGTACTTCTTGCACCTTTGCATTGAGTCTCCCTTTCTCTTGGTATAACTTCCTCTTTAACATGGGTCATGATATTTTTAGGCAAATTACATCTGTATTATGTCAACAGTCAATCTTTTAAGTCTTCGCCCCTTTATGAGGTGGATCATAATTTGGCTTCCTTTGTGCTGAAAGCATATTCTCGTCCAGGCTTAAATATAGTGTGCCATTTCCTCCCATCTGGCTACTTTAATTTGAGTCCATAATGTTCTATTTTTTCTACCTTTGTTTTTACTTATAAAGCATATTGTCTGACCTATTGGTTCTCCCTTTATCTAATTTCAAATGTGTTCAATATCTTTTTATTCTGTTTGTGTCGAGTGTTTTTATTGTGTATATATTTGTCCTTTGCTTATACTTTTTATTTTTGGTCCAATGTGATATTGGCTACTGATTTGATACATTATAATCAGTTGGTGATACTTCGGACTTTTACATTATTTTTTATGTCTTCAAATTCTTAATGCTAATGATAACTAATTGAAATAAGATTGGCATTTATGAGAGCGAGCCAGGGAGAAATCAGTTGAGAGTGCCCTGGAAATAATAATGACAGTTTCTTAAACATGGTTTCCTTTAGTGTATTAATCAAACATTGACAGAGTAATTGGTCAAAATTCTGGTTGGTATTTCTGACCTTAGGAAAATTATGAAGGTTGATCCTGCTGATCGATTGTCAAAATGGAGTTCTTGATTTCCTAAATGCTTTGGTTCGTTCATTAAGTTAGTCAAGACTAGGGCATGGTCGACATATTCCATTTGATTCACTGGCCCCCTCCCAGAAATTATGCAATTTGATAATGGGTGCATTTGGTTTTCTCTTTTTATCTACATTTTTAGAAAGAATTTTGTTCATTTTCCTGCTCTACGTTTTCTAGACATGGTAGGTCAGGAGAACATATAGCAAGAGCATTATTATTTATGATTGCATTATATTCAAATCCACTTAACCGTGGACATGTACTTTTTCATAGGTGCAAAAGTTGATGGGATCAACTCCCATGGATCTTGCTCGGTCAAACCTGGCTAAGAGTGGACAAATAGGTAGGAACTCACCTTGTCCTTGTGGGTCGAAGAAATTATACAAAAGGTAATTATCTTTAGATCTTGATGGATAACCACTGTGGTCTCTGGTTAACTTTTCGTTTCTGTGAAGTTTTTGAGTGGGACCTGCAATTTTACATATCTTGCTCCTGTGATTACTTTCGGCGTTTCATGTGTTTCTATCTCTGTTGTGTGGTTAATTATTTATGTCAACATCCAAACTTGTACTTAGATAAGTAAATATCTGTATTTGAGGCAAGAGGGCAAGGAGGATGATGTATATTTAACTTGAAATCTTATGGTATGGTTTTCTGAAATGGTGCATAGCGGTCCCTAAACTACTTGTAATGCATCTTGAATCTTCTATTTCCTTTTTTAAGTTAACCATCTTGAATACTCCATTTTACTGTGACTGGATTTTATGGTAATTGTTATCTACGTTGTGATAAAAAAGTATCGCGACCTCAACAGCTCTACACATGAATGTAATTTTAACATGCGATGATTGATATGGGGTCATAAACCTCTGTGTTTATTTTCCCACTTTTCATCATGTTAGATTGTTAGTAGTTTTCAGATCCTTGCAAACTTATTTGTTTAGCTGATGAATAATTGACCTTTAATTACCCTTTGGCAAGATTTATATTGCTTATCAGTGTGTGCTTGAAGTTGAGAAAGATTGTTATGAACAAAGGTTCAAAATCCTGAGGAGCCTTGTGTCCACATATAATCGTGTCATTGGGTGGTTTGGAGTGTTTAAGCAGCGAATGGGTCATTTCCATTGTATGACTGACAAAATTGTCTTTTCTTTTTAAGGGGAAAATTAACTTGTTTTAGGTAAGATGTCTAAAGTTCTCTTTGTAAGAGGAATTATTAAATTCTGTAAGATGTCTAAAGTTCTCTCACCGAGTAGTCAGGGACTTGTGTCTTCTTCTAGTTATTGAACTCTTTGACGAGTTGATATTGGGAAATAAGAGCTTCAAATGTTGCGTAACTTTAAACATCAGATGGATCAGCTAGCTGAGTAATACTATGTCTTTATGTGTTGAATTTTGCACTGTTTTTTTGCCCATTTTTCTTTTCTCCTTGCTGTTTCAAGGAACTATCATTGTTGGAAATGTGCTGCTCCTCGTTAACCTTATAAAGGAAGTCATTTTCTTCCCTTAATGTTTCTAGGGCTAAGTTCTCCGTCATGCTGGTTTTTGTAGGTGTTGTGGGAAGGATAGTAAGGGCGTAGGAGCAACTAAACTTTGAAGCAGCTCTATGAAGATGTTGGATGGTAAATACGTATTGAGACTTAAAACCTGATGCCTCGATGCTGATTTTGGTAAGCATGGAAATTTGCGGGAGGAAGATGTATTCTCTTTTCATGGAATCCTTCTAGAAAATTTTGGTCATAAGCAGAATGTACTTTGCTTTAGTAGCCTCATAAAATGTTTTTCTTTTTCCTACCTGAGAATTTTATGACGTTACAATCTGTCTCCCTTACCACCTCAAGACCCTTTCCGAAGTAAACACAAAATTTGACTCAAAGAAGATAGTGTCTCATTAGTCTCATAGTTAACAAAGGATGTCTTAACCTGAATCCATTGACTAGTTTTCAAGATTTGAAGTCAAAAACACTTGTACAGGTGCTTAGTCTGCTCTGCTTGACTGATTCCACAAGAGATTTTGGCAATAATAAGGAAATTATTCATCTGTTTCCCTTACAATTTTTTTTTTCCTTGCTTTATTCTTTTCTTTGTGTTTTTGTTTTGGTTGGGGGGGGGGGGGGGGAGAGGAATCCGTGACGATCATCTGAAAAAATCTGCGGTAAACTAACAACACAATCCTATTTCTTTTTTTAAAACACTCCGAAGACCAAGTGTATAACTTGAGAATACACACTCTTTCCTGGTTCAAATAAAAGTAGTTTATAGGGAAGCTTCCCGATGATATCATAATTAGTGATATCAGTTGAGAGCTATACTCGAATGAATGTCCCACAAACAAAAGAAACAAACAGAAAGCAATTATGAATTTTTAGTCCAACTCATGTTCATGTACAACATGAAGGGAAGGTGATTAATTAGGAAGATATGTATAGAGGAAATCGATAAACACTAAAAAAACTGTTGAATCTCTTTGATCATGCACATTCTTGGCGCTTCAAGTGTCAAATTTGAAGGAGTAGTTTTGATTATATGTATATCTCGAGTTAAATGATGCTGATATATGTCCTTTCTGAGTTTATGATTGATCTCATTCTAAGCGAACTTTCCCTGGCAAACTATACAGAATTTGCTAATTTTGATGTTACCGACTTGAAAGAAAGTGACAATTAAAGATCCCTTAAATTATGCAAGAGACTACAAATCACTCTCTTGGTATTTTTCTCAGGGCTTTTCGCCTCATCGTTTCCTAATGCTGCTAAATTTATGCTTCCGTTCATCTTTGTACGTAACACAAATGAAGCAGAAGTTTTAGGTAAATACCTGTAAGTCAAACAATTGAATCACACATTGTTATAATCAAAAAGCACATATTTCTTTAAACTAAAAACACAATTCCTACATCTGAATCAAGGATTCTAGCCAACCTACTCAAACAACTAACAGTCACCAAACTTCACACATTTCCAGATCTCAGGACCCCTCTCTCTTCAAATGAGTACTAAAATGCTCATCAGATTCCTTCTGTTCCAACTCTTTTTGTACTTCTCCTGTTTCATCATCCACCCGTCCATATCCCAAACATTCCCGGATTCTGCTTCGAATGTCGGTGTTCGCGGACAATGGCATTTGTTGCAAGAAAGCATTGGCATATCAGCTATGCACATGCAACTCCTGCACAATAACAAGGTTGTTATCTTTGACAGGACTGATTTTGGCAAATCTAACCTGTCTCTACCTGGTGGCCGGTGTCGAAACGATAAAAACGAAGTGGTGCTAAAGGTAGACTGCACAGCTCATTCGGTTCTCTATGATATTGAAACCAATCAGTTTAGGCCATTGATGGTACAAACTGATACCTGGTGCTCTTCTGGTGCTGTCATTCCTGATGGAGCCCTGATCCAAACCGGCGGTTTCAATGACGGGGATCACATTGTCCGAAGATTCGTACCTTGTGATGATAACCGCTGTGATTGGGAAGAGTTTCCAGGGACCCTGGTGAACAGAAGATGGTACGCTTCGAACCAGATTCTACCCGATGGACGAATCATCATTGTTGGGGGCAGGGGTCAGTTCAACTACGAGTTCTACAATCCCCGGGGGAACTCAGCGTTTCAATTAGATTTTCTTAGGGAAACATCTGATGAAAGCGAGAATAATCTTTATCCGTTTCTTCATCTACTGCCTGATGGAAACTTGTTCATTTTCGCGAATACTAGGTCGATTGTGTTTGATTATAAACAGAACAGGCTTGTGAGGGAGTTCCCTTCCATGCCTGGAGATGTTTCCAGGAATTATCCAAGCTCAGGTTCATCAGTGCTTCTTCCAATCGACGAAAACGTTCACACTGAAGTCGAGATTCTGATATGTGGAGGTTCGAGCCCTGACGCCTTCAATTCAGCGAGACGGGGAAATTTTCCGCGCGCGAGCTCAACCTGCGGGCGCCTGAGGATCTATGATGACAATCCCGCCTGGAAAATGGAAACAATGCCGGTGCCCCGAGTAATGGGAGACATGCTCATTCTTCCTAATGGACAGGTGATCATAGTGAACGGGGCAATGTTAGGCTGTGCAGGTTGGGAAAACGCGAGGAGCCCCGTGACACGACCATTGATTTACAACCCGAATGGATCAGAAAACAATCGATTTGCAGTCATGGAAACGGCCTCAAGGCCGAGATTGTACCATTCAACAGCCATTCTTATGACTGATGGAAGAGTCCTAGTAGGAGGAAGCAACCCGCATATTTTTTACCAATTCAGTTCTGAAGAATTCCCAACTGATCTGAGTCTGGAAGCGTTTTCGCCGCCTTATTTCGCGCCAACGTATGATTCAGTGAGGCCGAGAATAGTGGGATTCAACCCGGCAATTCGTTACCGGAGATCTTTCTCAGTGACTTTCAGAGTCTCAGATTTTCTGGGATCAGAAAATTTATCAGTGAGGATTGTTGCCCCATCATTCACCACGCATTCGTTCTCGATGAATCAAAGAATGATAATTTTGAAGGGAGTTAACGTTACTCGGGTTGCTGCTTCTACTTACAATGTAGTTTCAATAGGACCATCCAGAGTTGAGGTTGCACCACAAGGTTTCTATATGCTGTTTGTTGTTCATGGAGAGACTCCTAGCACTGGACAGTGGGTGAATTTAAGTTGATGTCTTTAATCCTGGGGGCGGGGAGGTGGGGGCGGGGGAGAAAACACAATAGACTACAGCCTACAGGTTTATTCAGTTAGATTTTCCATTCAAGTACTGCCAATGTATGGTTTAGTGTTTTTTGCTCACAAGTATATTTGTTCATGAACGAATACATGAAATTTCTCAACTATAACATAGAGTACTTATTAAACCAAATAAGTTTATTCGATCTAACAAAACAAATTTTGTCGTATTTACATTAATATCCATTCACGATATTTCATGAATATATATAGCCCATTAAATAATTAATCAAATTACTTGTTTCATATAACATCATTAACATCATGGTTAGGTTATTACGTGTATTAATATCTCGTTTTTAATTTTACTGTCTGATTAAAGTCGTTATGAAATTAGTGATCAACATAATCTTGCATATGCTCAGATATTCCTAATTAAAAACATGTACCTTTTTTTTAAAAGAAACATCATATTTTGTTGTACACAGTGGCAAGGAAAATCCTCATCCTATTAATTTGCCAAAACATTGACCTTTTTCCTTCATCATTTTTCAAAGTGATAAATTAACTGTTTTTACTAATTTTGAGAGACTATTTTGTCAGTAATACTTATTAACTTGCCAAAAGAAATGGTACCAAAATTCCCACATCCCATGTCTGAATGGTCCAAACATCATTTTCAAAGGTTAGATACTTCATCCTTTGCATTTCTTCCCGAAGGCTCCTCTATAGTCTATAGCTTATCAAAAATTCTTATACGCAACCGATAAGTAGCGGAAATATCACGTAAAAATTGAGAGTTCAAAAAGATTTTGGAGTTTTTGGCTCGAGATTTTTGAGTAACTAAAGCTCCCCAACTACTTGATTTATCTACACCCAACCAGTCTTGTGATCAAAGCACACTTTTTTGTTTGGGTCTACATCCATCAACATTTTACTGTTTGATGTCTTTTTTCCCGTTTTCCACCGTTTTCGAACTTTTACCATTATATTCCGAACTGGGTTGAATTTTAATCATAGTATTTGCTTAGTTGCCGTTTATTTTAATCCTTATTCTAAAGGAGGAATCCTATGTAGTAATTGCACGTGTGAGTTTCCTTTTTGAAGAAGAAGAAAGTGACTGTCTTCAATTTCTGCCTCAAAAATTAGTTGTGAAAGCTGTCGCAAGATTCTGTTTTTCGGCTGCGATTGATGAATTGTTGGTGGGTTTTGCTCGCTGGCGACTGTGGAACCTTGGAAGGTGATTTGGTGTTGAATTTCTGATTGTTCTGGTTCTAAGAATTCTGGAGTGTCTTGTGAAATAGTATCCAGAAAATGGGTATGGAGAATTATTTGGCATCAACTTCTGATTACTCATCAGTGGTGTCAATTAATCTTTTTGTGGCATTGCTTTGTGCCTGTATTGTGATTGGACATTTGCTGGAGGAGAGTAGATGGATGAATGAGTCTATTACTGCCCTCATTGTGGTAACAATTTCTAGTCTCCTTTAAGTTCATTCAATGTCCCATGATCTACTTATAGCTGCTTCCTTGTTATCAAACTATGTATTTCATCTTTTGTACTATGATAGCTAGGTTTCCAATCATGTAGAAGAGTAGTCATAATTACCCGCTTTGAGTGATTTCTAATAAGTTCTGTAGCGGTTACATTTCTAGTTACACTTTTTTTTTTTTTTCCTTCTCCGTGTGATTATATTGTTGTGTAAGCTTTCTGAAGTCTGAAGATAGTAGTATATCAGTGTCGAGTGGTCCTAAGTTCTGAGGATATGGAAAAATGACAGGGTTTGGCTACTGGAGTTGTGATTTTGCTGTTAAGTCGTGGAAAAAGCTCTCATCTGCTGCTCTTCAGTGAGGATCTTTTCTTCATTTATCTACTCCCACCGATAATATTCAATGCCGGGTAAGTTTCGGACCCACAGTATTGCTGATAATGTGTCCTATTTGTGTGGTTATCTTCGCAATTAGATATAAGTGGAAAATGGTTGTTTTGATTTTCCTGTGTAGTATTTTAGTATTCTAAAATTTTTCTAAGTCATTAACATTTGAATTCTGGAATTATGTCATGCATTTCAATACCATGATTGATAACTTGTTACGGGCTTTCCTTTAAATGTAATAGAAGGGGAAAATGTTACCAATGTTACCTTGAAACATAATTTGCAGCTTATTCTCGAGTATTGTATGGCTTGTGACTTTTAACAGCTTTCCACATTCCTTTTCGCCAGGTTTCAGGTTAAAAAGAAGCAATTTTTTCGGAATTTCATCACTATTATGCTTTTTGGAGCTGTGGGTACACTAGTTTCATGGGCTGTTATATCTTTTGGTACGTGTATAATCTCCCTGTATTCCATTCATTGTTTCACCCTTGGCGTCAAGCTTCATGTACCTGTATTTACTCTGGATAAGATTCAGTGAAAAAGTGATGCTACATAACCTTTCCTTTCCTTCTTTCACTTTTTGTGCTTCTGCTGAAATTTTAGTTGAAATATAGTTAGAGAACTGAACTGAGGGGTCTTTATGAAAAATTGGTCTAGATTTGAAGACCAGGAAAGTTGAAGGGTTTTTTTAGCCAATTGATGTTGACGCGCCAGATATGATTGCCAGCAGTTATTGTGAGCTCATTTGAGACCCTTTTTGACTTGGTTTCTCAAGATTTAGTTAGGGATAAACAAGATCCACTATAATGGTCATCATATGCAATATGAACTGTTTCGGAATGCTCTAGATGGAAAATGGAAAGCTGGATGAATTTTGCTCAATCGTGTCAAGCCTGCTTCCATTTTTAAACTTGTGGCTTTTGTTCAATTCAATATTCATCCTCTCATGATCTACTTGTGTTTGAGACAGGTGTCACCGAGTTGTTCAGTGGATTGGATTTTTTTGCCGATTTCGATATTGGAGATTATCTTGGTAAAACTCTCTCTCTCTCTCTCCCCCTCCCCCTCCTCTCCTCCAACACCCCCTCCCTCTCTCCCCTCCCTTCCTTCTCTGATGTCCTCTTAACCATTATTCTTTTGACCTTTCAGCAATAGGGGCAATGTTCTCCGCAACAGATTCTGTGTGCACTTTGCAGGTAAATGACTACCCTGAAGGAAGTGTAATTTTTGTAAGACATTGCGTTCTGAAAGTATAACTACTCATTGCAGGTCCTCAATCAGGATGAGACTCCCCTACTTTATAGTTTGGTCTTTGGAGAAGGTGTGGTGAATGATGCCACATCAGTAGTGCTTTTCAATGCTATTCAGAGCTTCGACCTCTCAAAAATCAGCCCTTCTATTGCTTTACACTTCGTTGGAAATTTCCTATATCTATTCTTTGCCAGCACTGCCTTGGGAGTTGTGGTGAGTTTTCCTCCCTTCCTCTGTAGAAAGCTGTGTTGCCCAACTACATTCCTGACTAATTGTCCCTTGCTTCAGGCTGGATTGCTGTGTGCTTATATCATTAAAAAGCTGTATTTCGGAAGGTATGAAGATGAAATGCTTTATTTCTGAAGCTTTTAATCCCAAGCCTATTTTAAGGTTCTTGAAATCAATTATTATTATCTTTTACCGATATATTCCTGTTCAACTGAAGGCTCATCTTTTTAGGCTTATATACTATTATAACTGCATAGTTAAGCCAACAAAAGTATGATGCTACATCCTTTCTTTCCTTTTATTTTTTCATGATCCCTTTCGTTGTAATGATCTTATTGTATCGTCACGCTAGGTTTTATTAAATACATTATGCGAAAGTGCACTTCTGGTCCCTTTGTTTGGACCAGTACCACATTTGGTTTGATTTATTTTGAAAAGGACACTTTATGTTGAATTGAACTGGTTCAATAGGTAATAGTGGGTAAAATGGGCCATATTATTGTATGAGGAAAGTGTCACTAATCAAAACATAAGTGACTAAAATTGCTATTGGTCCTTAGCTTTGGTGACCAAAATTGCCATCTTGCCACTTATAATAGCATTAAAACCTTCAGAAATCATAGCTGTGAGATGTTTCAAGTTCCTGCATTATCCATCTAAACAGTAGCTGGTCTGTTAGCGTATATACAGTCCCCTTTTGTATATCGTACGTGTACAAATAGTAAAATACCTGATCTAATTTTGTGCTCATGTAAACTTGTATTCCCAAGTTCATTTAATAATGAAAAATTGGTATTCTGTAGCAGGTTTAGTGAAAATGTATTGTGATTGGTATTCCATTGTTCCTTGTTTCATATGAATTTCAAAAAATTTATCCATTAGAGTTTGGTTTATGTTAATCTGAAGATCATGACCGGTGTTGTAGCTAGTGTGGTTGACATTATGATAGACTGTGAATGGGGGTATATGACTTCTTTGGTACTTGCATGTCTTTTGGATTCTTGTTTGTCTTTGAAGTAATATTTTCTTAAGTTCTTTAGAATGCTTCGATGGAGCATTCCATCTCTCTAAATTGACTTGATGTTACAATACAGGCATTCTACTGATCGTGAAGTTTCCCTTATGATGCTCATGGCCTACTTATCCTATATGCTTGCTGAGGTAAAACTCTTCTTGACTTTGTACTGCTCAGGACTCTGATTTTCTTGCTTTAGTGCTCCTGTCAAGGATGCAATTTATTACAATTGTATTTTGAATTGAGTATATGCATAACTGATCTCTTTCTCGCAGCTATTGGATTTGAGTGGCATTCTCACTGTATTTTTCTGTGGGATAGTAATGTCCCATTACACCTGGCACAATGTAACTGAGAGTTCAAGAATTACTACAAAGTATGCATCTACTCTAATGTCTTCTGTGCTTTTTAAATAAGCTGGTTGACAAGTTTAGATAACGAATATATTTGACCTCTTACCTGGTATTTCTAACTGTTCAATTGATAATTTACAGGCATGCCTTTGCAACCTTGTCATATGTTGCTGAGACTTTTATTTTTCTTTATGTTGGTATGGATGCACTGGATATTGAGAAATGGCGCTTTGTCAGTGATAGGTATGCACGACACGAGGCTTTTCTTTTCAGATTATGTGAATGATTAATTTGCATAAATTATGACGGTTACTTTGAGATCTATTTTCCTAGTAAAACTCTCTTGTTCATTGGGCTCGTTTTCTTTGCACCATTTCTGAAAATAATGATGCTCTCTTTTTAAACAACTCATGAAGTTCTATGGTAAGAATTATTAAGTGGAACAAATTTTCTTTTCTGCAGTCCTGGAAAATCAGCTGCAGTGAGTTCCATTTTGTTTGGTCTAGTCCTATTGGGGAGAGCAGCCTTTGTGTTCCCCATATCGTTCTTGTCTAACTTAACCAAGAAATCTGCAAATGAAAAGATCACCCTCAGGCAGCAAGTAAGAGCGTGCAATTCCTCCCATAAGTATTTTCTTGTGTATTCAATCATTATATGTATTACAATGTGATTATCATCCTTCAGGTCATAATATGGTGGGCTGGCCTAATCAGGGGAGCTGTTTCGATTGCACTAGCATATAACAAGGTTAACCTTCAAGATACATTTTGTTATTATTTGTTCACCTTCTTAATAGGCTTTGTTGTGAGGGTCTACCATAAGACTAAGAGAACTGAGCGTTACCTAGAATCTATGCTTTTTGAAAATAACAAGCTCTTCTTTTGTTACTATGCTGGTTGGCAGATTTTTTTGTATCGTTTATCCTTCCTAAAAGAATTTTTTTTGAGAAATGGTTGCATTTGGCAGTTTACTACTTCGGGACACACGCATGTGCGAAGCAATGCCTTCATGATAACAAGCACTATCACCATCGTCCTATTTAGCACTGTGGTAACAAATCTGTTCCCCTTGTAAGATTGTGATTCGATTTTGTTTTTAGTGATGACAGCTGTTTGATTTTCATCATTTGCCCTGAATATCTCTAATCACTAAGTTTCCTTAGGTGTTTGGCTTACTGACGAAGCCACTTATAAGGTTATTGCTGCCACCACACCTGAAACGTTCCATCAGTGCTGCATCTTTGGAACCTGGTTCTCCAAAGTCATTCATTGTTCCATTCCTTGACCATCAACAGGAGAGTGAAAGTTTTCTGAATGGACAAGATGTGCCTAGACCATCTAGTCTGCGTATGCTCTTGACTACTCCTACACACACTGTTCATCGCCTCTGGCGTAAGTTTGATGACACGTTTATGCGACCTGTGTTTGGGGGTCGCGGGTTTGTCCCTGTTGTTCCCGGTTCCCCAACAGAAAGGAGTCTGCATTAGATTTCTCCCCCCCCTGTACAAAAAGTGAAGATGAGACTCGATGGAGAAGGATATCAACAAGCAGACATTGTCTCACTCCCGTGTTCGCTGGTCAACCAAATATCACTGTTTAATTCCCATGTAAATTATATAGTTTGGAATGTGCAAGGTTATGGCGTTTTAGTGTTGCAAAATCTATTCGTTCTGTACATATATGTATGTATAGTTGTATACTGGTTAATTCCTGTCAGCCATAACATATTCAAAAGGGTGAAACCATTTGGTAACGTAAAAAATTTATTAGCATCTTCAGTTTAAGTTTATTGTTACTTCTATGTATTTCGTAACACACTCTTCTTTCTTTTTTGATAAATGGTAGATATAAAACCTGCCAGGCTCATTCTTCTGTACATCTTGCTTTCTTCTCATAATCACGGGTTACTCATTGGATTTTGCTTGCATCCATGGTCGTCTCTGATTGCTAGATTTTTTTATTTTTATTTATTTATTTTTTTGGTAGATATTTATTTATTTATTTATTTTTTGTTCCTTGAGGGGGCGGGATAATGTGGCTGCGTTTTGGGACCCTCGCAACGCACCATCGTTGTGTTTGCTCTTATATCTAACCAATTATCAAAGGCGCAAAGCTTTCTTGGCTGGTGTTTCCGACTCACCACGATATTGTACATATTGGTTCCATGCATCTTTCTCAGGACGAGATATGGTCAGATACGCCTGTCCAACTTAAGCACAACTGCCGGGAGGGCAAAACTCTCAAGGAAGTTTGAAATGGATGACTGAGGGTTTTTATAAATCGTGCCAATCTATGTTGGGTATAGGTCATGTTTATTAGCGCGGTTAGAAACGAGAAATTGAATTAACGAACGATCTTTGGACAATTAGCAGCTCTTCCGCTGTTATGGCTATGGCAGGGCTTAACTGCCATTCTCCGAAGAGATAATTTTCATTATCTGGAACATTTATGTGGTGATATTGTGCACTATAAATGTGTCATCACAAAACACATCAAACACGCAGGTACTGACTACTAAGGCTGCTTCATCAATTGTAATTTCCAACACAACAATTTTACTATACACGATAACTGTGACACCAAGTACAGTATTAAAGCCAACGATATGCGACCTGCAATAAGAAGAAAATGACTCAGGCTGCTCTAGAACTCCAATCTCTAGCAGAGTTCATGAGACTCGCGTTATACGGACAAGAATTGTCCACAGATTGTCGGTCAAATGATTAAGAGAGGCGCACAGAAGAAGACTGGGCAAAGAGTTCATTCAAGATCTCCACATATATGAATAAAGAAAGGCACACAGAAGAAGCCCAGGCAAAGAGTTCATTCAAGATCTCCACACATACGAATAAACACTCCTGTGTAGAGAGCCGGGGGGTGGGGGAGGGGGAAGAAAAAGAAAAAGAAACCTGGAAAAGAAACTTTCCGGTTCTTCAAGATCCGTGGAGGCATTTCATATTTTTCCCCGGAGAAGGAGAAATCCATGGAGATATTTTAAGCATTTATTAAAATCTATTGATATGTACATTGAGTAATAAGTGTCCCAAAACTAGTTTCTATGTAATGCATTATATCATATCATTGGGGTGAGACATACCATCATGGCATGGAGATGGTGGCTTTACTGGTTCTCATTCATCAGCTGCGTAGGGAACCTCCGAGAAAGAAACAGATAAGCGCAACCATGCAAACGTAGAAAAAGGGGAATCCCACTTGAACTCTTTTCACGGTTTTCTTGCTTCTCAACTGTGCCTACAGAGAAGAAAATCAGAGCTCAAATATGAAATGGAGTAAAGAACAGGGTAATTATGCCTCAGCAACAGAATGAACCAATTAAAAGAAAAGAGAACCAAACTACAAGTGGCACCAGGAACAAGTAACCAATCTTTTCAAAGAAGCTTAATGCCCCATTCGCACCCGAGACTATATTCCTCATATAGATACATGCACCTTGAGATAAATGTTACTCCCTCCCTACCAAAATTATTGTCGAGTTTGGATTTTTATTTTTAGTACAAATTGATCTAGAAGTGAAAATCTAAACTGGACAAGAATTTTGGGACAGAAGGAGTACAAATTATTCAAATTTCTTCAAGTTATGGCAAAGAAACTTCATCTAGGCAGGGCAATTATCAGGAGCAATCAGTCCAATTTCACATTAAGCATGTAAAATGAAATTCACTAGAGTAGAAAATCAACCATGCCAAACTCAATGTAGGGAAGGTACTCAGACAAAGGATGCATGACTCGAGGCAATATGATAGCACTTGCCACACATTGTTATTAGTCCAGTCTCCAAGTCCTCGTGGTGTCCACGAAGTGCAAAACCTCAAGTTTAAACATACAGTGTACAAATAAGCAAGAAACCCTTATAACACTGGTCACAAATCTTCAGGTAGATGTGCACTTACCATTTCTTGCTGTAAGCTATCACTATCTTGTGTAATTGACTTCCTCTCTTCTGTTAGCTTCGAAATGGTTTCTTGCGCCTGCAACGAGAAATAGCAAAAACTTAGCACATGTCTATCATACAAGCAACAATAAACTGGGCAAAAACTCTAACCTCCGTTAACTTTGTTTCCATTTCATTTATTTTTTGCTTCAAATCGTTGATATCCTTGACCAGCCGCAGTTGCTGTACGCTTGTCATCGATTGAAGGTCTAAAGCCTTTGCTGAAGCTAATGGCTCAGCATTTTTAAGTTTGGGCTCTACTATGTCATCATTCACCTGAAGCATATACGAGTTAATCAACACACAGATTTACAAAAATTCAAAGATCAATTTTCTATTTGATTGATGAGATTCTAATCTCTTCCCATAATGCACGATATAAGAAGCAATACTGTTTGCTGTTCAAGTTAATGTCATCTGACAACAAATATGGTCCCACTCTTGAACAAGAGCTCATTTTCTTACTTTGAATTGGAGCCTCATGTTTTCACGCCTTTGCGAAATTTCCAGAGGTGACGTGTCATAAGCAGGAAACTGGTTATGAACTCCATCCATTGGTGAGGGTACAGGTGAATTAGGTGGACTGAGGAGGATAACTTTCAGCTTGCGCTCTTCCACATATTTGTTGTTGTCTTTCGCAAACTGTGCACAAGAAGCATAATGGATCATTATAATGAATCCAGATGGAAAACCAGTATAGATCTCATGTCACTCACCAAGGTAGACGTGATTTCCTCCTCAGTTGTGCCTGCATCTACTACAGTACTTTGAACCAAGAACTTGTCCTTTGATGTCATATCAGGAGCAACACGTGGTGCCTGCATAGTCACTGCATTGACACAACAATCTCAGGACTCAAAAGGAACTGAACACAAATAAAAAAATAACGCACAAGCAAACATATCAGTGTACCATTTTATTGCATTATAGATTTGATATTGCTTCATAAAGTAATCACTGTTCATTAACATTAAAAAATGTTCGACAGCCAAGTTTCTTGCACACAAAGCATTAACAGAGATGTTCACAGATCTGATCAATATATACTTATATATTTCAAGGATGGATTTTCCTCCATCCCATAGAGGCAACAACATTAGGATAATCTCTTATCAGCCAAAATTCAAGTAAACTCCCAGACCAAAAGTTTTACCGAGAACAATGAAGAACAACAAAGAATGATTCCCCGTAAAGTTATGCAGGTTTGCATGCAATAAAAGAACCTCCCATCTAGCCCTGCACTCACAAAAAGGGACAGGTCCTTCAAAATTTGACAAGCTTGCAACAGTGCAAAAATGATTGGCAACAATCCAGATTGTTGTTATACACATCTTTACTTAATGACCGTAAGTTTCTCTTTAAACCAAAAAAACCGACATCTTCCAAATTAAGAGCCAGCCTGTGCAGTAGAATCCAAATGCTTCTTTTCCTTTCAGTTCATAAGATAACTGATTTCCCCAGCTTTAGCCAATGTAGATAAAGATATGTGGCTCCCATGACAAATATTGCGATAACACATGCTCACTAAACACATACCCCTCCCCCAAAAAAAAGAGATAAATTTCAGTATGCATCCATTACATGATGAGCTCGACCACCAGCTATTTTGTCACAACAGACAGGCAGCACACTCACTCATCCTACAAACACGAATGCTGGAATTCAGGCATTCAGCTAAAGTAATCTAATTACACCTGATATCTTCCTCAGCATTGACAATGAGACTAAACCATTTAAGTTAAAACACCAGACGTCGTCTGTTTGAAGAATGTATGGCCAACCCCGTAGGTGTGGTCTACAGTAGAAAAATGATGAACATTTCCCCTTCATGCAAAATTCTGTAACAGCATGCTGCAATCATTCAGATATTTCAACGAAGGCTAGAGAACATTAAACTGTATTCTCTTCATAGTCCAGATACACAACCAGCTGCCTTGCAGGAGACAGATACAACTTTGGTTTAAAACATATGGATGCATATTATAGAATCTCTATGATGAAAATTTTGTCATACAAAACTCTGTAACCCTAACAAATGCATGCAACCACACGAAAGACAAAGTTCGCGATATATGTGATTGTTACCTTCTCTCAACGATAAATAGGGTGAACAAACCAAACGTTAACCAAAAAGCTCAATGCATTGTTTAGATCAAACAGATCTTGTTCCCTCTTTTACAACTGTAAATACAAGTCCTCAAAAAACCAAAACCAATGTTTGCTACAAGAAATGGAGCAATAATAAAAGCAGAAGCCTGACAAACTGCATTGTTGATATAGAGATCATGTTAAACTATAATATAATATGCTTGAATGAATTGAGCTAATGTACGATTCATAAAGAATAAATGGTTCCACCCTTAAACAAATCAAATTGTGACAACAGGATTTCATAGCATGTCAGAAAAACACCAGGACAGGTGATATTCTAAGAAGTCAAAAAAATCGACGTCAAAAACAACTATGCCTATCGAATGACTTTGTATAAACAATGTCAAAAAATAAACAAGCTCAACACAGCTACTGGTGTTACACTGAAAGATTTTCATGGAAACTAAAGGTTTGTCGTGAATATCGGCAATAAATGGTCAAATTACAGGCTTCAGAATCAAGCAGACAAACAGAATCTAAGTGGATGTACTATTCTAAAACATATCACTGTGCAGACCACGCACATAAACTTCCATAAACCAAGAACAGAAAAATTCTTTTCAAGCTTTGATCTGTACATTTAGCTACATTTAGAACAGAATCAAGCTTTGATCTGTAAAATTCTGGAAAATTGATCTGTACATCGCAAGCTTTTTTGTCAATTAGCTACAGAAAATTACATAACTCCCAATAAAATAAAATTACAAGAGAAAATACCTTCAAAACTAAATGTAGACTTTGGCTCCATAATGCCTGTGTTTGGTTTGACACAGTATTTCTTTGGACTTGTTGTCTTGACCTGCCAAAAGGTTTCCGAAAACAAACACCACTCAAACACCATTTAAACAAAGCTAAATCAAATCATATATTTCACAAGGTAGAAAATAATGTGTCTCCATACCTTAAAAGCAACATAGTGTCGTGACTTGTTGAATAACTGAACAGAGCAAGAACTATGCTTCATCACTTGAACTAATGGAATTGGAAAGAGAAGAAATATATCAATCAACGAATCTAACCCGTACTTGATCCTCTACTCTTAAAACAAATAAGCTACTTAAAAAAGAAGAGAGAGGGAGGTTTCGGAATAGTTAAGCTTACCTATGAACTTCAGTTCTCGCGGTTCAATTTCTAAAAGCTCTTCACCCATCATAACTTCACTAAAAATTCCCAAAACTCCGTTACTTTATGAACAAGTATCGGAAAACAGCCACAATAGCTGGAATTCTCTCAAACTGCCATGTTGAAAAAAAGAATTATTCAATTCCCGTATAATTAAGCAACATAAAAACACAACCTCAACGGTACAGTAGAGCCTATTCCAATCGCACAAACGAAATTCTAACAATTGAACAATGTTCAAGAAAAATTCGTACAGAATACTGTTGAATAATTTTACAATTTAGGTATATAAACTACGATAGAACAAAAGGGAAAATGATCACGCACCAAAATGAAGGAGGCAATTGAGGCGAAAAATCAGCCGTACGAACTGGAAGATCGGTGGCGATGACGGAGTTATCTTCGTCGGCAACGCCGGTTTCCGCCGCGTATGGACGAGGGAAGGAGATGATACAGAGACGGCAATGGAGAATTCAAGGACTTCGTCAGAGAGTAAATGATTCACTATAATGGCGGTGGATTTTATACCTTTATTTCGCATATACACTTGAATACTTTCTACAGCTCTACTTTAAATTTTTACACCCATTATTGCACTAGAAGACCCTTAAATTTTGAAAGGTATCAAAAGTCCTCCAATAGTTTTATGGACAACATACGGTTCACCTTTCAATTTCACAGGCTCTCTGTTTGGGAACTGGTTTTCAGTGTGTTCTTTTTTGTGATGGATGATTGATATATTAAGTTTTTAACGGTCAAATACTTAGCCGAATTGAGTAAACAAGCCAAGCAGTAGAATGGAAAAAGAAAGAAGGAATTTTAGGCCTCGTTTGATAAAACTTAATTTGAATTTGAAGTCTGAAATCTGAAGACTGAATCATAAGTATTGAACTGATTAAGTTTGTCTTGTTTGATAAAAATCAAAATATGAACACTGAATAAAATGTCTGAAATCTGAAGTCTGAACACTGAAATTTAAAGTATCTCAACTTATAATTTTATCTCAAAAATAATTAATTTATAAAAAAATAGTATTATTATATATTATGTAATAAAAAAATTTAAACTTTTTATGTAATTATCTTTTCAGTTAATAATAATGCCATATCTTTATTATTATAAAAAAATAATATTTTATGGTAAATATATATTGATCATGGAATTTATTCGAATTTAATTTTTATATTAAATAAATATTTATTAAATAAAAAATTAATATAATATTTTTAATTTATAACTATACATCAAGATTAATAAAAATATTTCAAGATAAAGCATCAAAAGTATAAACATAAAGGTAAATAAATAGGAAAAAAAATCGTCTCAAGAATTCAGTTCAGACATAAGTGATCGGCCGATCACTTATTTTTAGACTCACATTAGTATTAGCATTTCAGACCCACTTAATTCATTAAGACATCGTATTTTAAGTTATCAAACGACTTAAAATTTAAATCCTTAATTAGTTAAGTTCTTAATCAATTAAGTTGTTATGATATCGTGTTATCAAATAGTACTAATCAATTAAGCACTTAATCAATAAATTTAAGTGTTGAATTGGTTTATCAAATAGAGCCTTACTAAGAAAGGATAAACAAGACAGATTAGGATAGAGAAAGGACGAAGAAGAAGACAAAAGGTGGGAGCGTATAGAAAAAGACAGCACATCAAGAATTAAGCAAGGAGATCAATTCATCATAAAAATGCTTAAAAAACATCTGCAAATGATTTACACTTCTTTATATAATAACTAAACATAGATGATAAACCCTAATCAACTACTTCATCCAGCTGTAATCTTGGAGATGCTTCTGGAATGAAGCCTTGTCACCAAATCCACGTCTGCACGAGTGCATGTGAGCCATCAGCTGCTGTCTTCGGCTCCAAGTTTGCAAAATTTACTTAAGTAGTAAAAGAAAAAGAAAGTTACTGAAAGTAAATAATGTTAATAGCACGACATTGCCTCCTGCTAAGCTAAGACTTGTCCTCAAGTCTTGAAATTTGGGAATTGATGGTGAATGAAGGAGCTATCCTCCCAAGATGAATCCTCCACCGGAAAGCCACTCCATTTGATTAGCCATTGTACCACATTTTGATCTCCCCTCTTTATGAATCTTCTCTGCAAAATCTTCTCGGGGATGAGGGAGTCTACATTGTCATCAGTGAAGTCAGGGAGCTCAGCTGCTATGATAGGATGGGCTCCAACATGCTTTTTAAGAAGTGAAACGTGGAATACATGATGTATTTTTGAGTGGGGAGGCAACTGTACTTGTTGGCAACATTGCCTATTTTTTCCAACACTTTGAAAGGTCCATAGTACCTGTATGACAGTTTGAGAGCTACTTGTATGGCCAGAGACTTCTGCTTGTAGGGATGTAACCTTAAGTATACCCAGTCACCAATTTGGAAGGCTCTCTCAGTCCTCCTTTGATCAGCATAGAATTTCATTCTGTTTTGAGTCTTGATAAGATTTTCTTTCAAACAACTAATGATTTTACCCTTCTGTGACATCATATCCTCAACAGCTGGGATGATTAGGGACTGGTAAGGGCCTAATGGAATGCTGTTAGGTTTAGTTCCATACAGTGCTTCAAAAGGTGTGAGATTTAGGCTGGAATGGAATGAAGTATTGTACCACCACTCCGCCAATACGATCCGGGAAGGCCAACTATTTGGATGATCACTGCAAAAACTCCTCAAATAGGCTTCCAAACATTGATTGACTCTTTCTGTTTGCCCATCAGATTGTGGATGGTAAGCAGTGCTCAAGTTTAACTTTACTCCTAGGGTATCAAATAAAGCTTTCCAGAAATGGCTAGTGAAGATCCGGTCCCTGTCACTCACTATAGAATCAGGGATGCCATGAAGCCTAAAAATTTCCTTGAAGAAGAGATCAGCTATGTCTTTAGCTGTGAAGGGATGTGATAAAGGGATAAAATGGCTATATTTGGTTAATCTGTCCACCACCACCAGGATAGTAGTATAACTAGTTGAAGAAGGGGGTAACTGGTCAATGAAATCCATGGAGATGCTGCTCCAAGCTTGAGGGGGTATTTCCAGTGGTTGCAAGAGCCCTGGGTATGGTAATTGTTCACTTTTATTCATTTGGCAGACAACACAAGCTCTGAAAAACACCACCACATCCTCTTGCTGATTCTTCCAGGTGAATACAGTCTTGATTCTATGGTAAGTTGCTTTTTGGCCAGAGTGTCCACCTAAAGGACTAGCATGAAAATGCTCCATTAACTTCTGTCTGATCCCTGCATTGCTTCCCACATAAAATCTCCCCTCCATCTTAAGCAATCCATTGAGGAATTGCAATTTCTGGGTAGTATCAGTGTTCAGTGTGGCTTGGGCAATCAGAAGTTGAACATCAGGGTCATCAATGTAACTTTTTTCAATCTGTTGGATCCAAGCTGGCTGAACAGTGGATATGGCATGAACAATTTCATCACTAGAAGGGGAAGGATAATCTTGATGTCTTCTGGATAGAGCATCAGCAGCAAGATTTTCCTTACCTTTCTTGCATTGGATTTCATAGTCTAACCCTAATAATTTAGAAAGCCACTTTTGCTACATGGTAGTAGTTATTTTCTGCTCCAAAAGAAACTTCAAGGCCTGGTGATCAGTCCGGATGATAAAATGGTGACCCTGTAAGTAATGTCTCTACTTTTCAATAGCCATAACCAATGCTAGCAAATGCTTTTCATAGATAGAAAGCCCTTGGTTCTTGATCCAAAAGATTTTCTGAGATAAGCAATAGGATGTCTTTCTTGTATCAGAACAGCACCCATACAAGAGTCACAGGCATTTGTCTCCACAATGAAAGGATGTTGAAAATTGGGTAGCCCCAACACAGGCGCATTGGTTAGAGCTGTTTTTAGTTTCCCAAATGCTTTATCAGAGTCAGCATTCCAATGAAAAGCATCCTTTTTTAGTAGAGAAGTCAGTGGTTTGCTTATAAGGCCAAAACCTTTGACAAATCTCCTATAGTAACCCGCCAAGCCCAAGAATCCCCTCAACTCTTTAATGGTTTTAGGCACTGGCCATTCTATGATACTATCAATTTTATCACTATCAACTTGCACCCCACTTTCAGATATAACATGGCCAAGGTAACCAATAGATTTCTGAGCAAAACTACATTGGGATTTCTTAGCAAAGAGCTGGTTTTCTTGCAGTGTTTTAAGTACTGTGGAAAGGTGGTCTATATGTTTTTCAAGTGAAATGCTGTAAACAAGAATGTCAGCAAAGAAGACTAGAACAAATTTTCTCAGATAAGGTTTAAAAACTTGATTCATTAAGGCTTGGAAAGTGGCTGGGGCATTAGTTAAACCAAAAGGCATCACAAGGAATTCAAAATGGCCATGGTGAGTCTAGAAAGCCGTTTTTTTGGTATATCTTCTTCTTTCATTCTAATTTGGTGGTAACCAGCTCTCAGGTCTATTTTAGAAAAATATTTAGCACCTAAAAGTTCATCCAAAAGTTCCTCAATGACTGGTATAGGGTACCTTTTTTTCACTGTCAATTCATTGAGGCGTCTGTAATCAGTGCATAACCTCCATGTCAAGTCCTTTGTTTGGGTGAGGAGTACTGGTGATGCATAGGGACTGTTGCTTGGCCTAGTTGTTCCTTTCTTCAATAGTTGTTCCACCTGAGACTCAATTTCCTCTTTATGGGCATGTGGGTATCTGTATGGTTTCAGTTTGAATGGTACGGCTCCATGTTTGAGGCAAATCTGATGGTCCACCATTTTGATAGGAGGTAAACCAGTTGGTTCTGTGAAAACTATGTTGTATTTGTTCAGAACTTGGGGTAATCTCCTCAGGAACTCCTTCAGTGATGGCAGCATATAGGTGACCTGAATCATGACCCTGATGATGAGCTCTGAATCTTCTTCTGTCTTCTAATCTCCTTAGTTCCTGCTCCCATTGCCACTCTTCTCTTTTTCTTTTATGGTATTCCACCCTGTCCATTACTGCTTGGATTCTTTTGTGTGCCTCATAAGCTTCCCCTTGTAGTATGAAACTCTCTCCCTTTCTGCTAAGTTGTATAGTGAACTTGTCATTATCAAAGAGGATAGGACTAAACCTGGAAAGCCAATTAGTGCCCAGTATGATGTCCCATTCCCCTAGTTCAATGACCTTAAGATCAAATTGGATATCATATTGCTGAATGGACCATTGTGCTTCTGGACAGGGCTGATCACTCCTTATCCTGTGACCATCAGCTACTGTTACCACGTAGGGTCTAATGGTTCTTGTAGCAAATCTCATTTTCCTGGCTAATCCTGAATTGATGAAGCTTTTGGATGCTCTTGTGTCAGTCAGGATCTTGACTAATTCTTTGTGAATGAACCCAAGAATGACAATAATCTTCCTGTCCTCATCCTCCATTGCCCAACAGTCCTCCATCTGAGTAATTGCTTGGATTTGAGCTTCAGGAAGTATCATCAAGTTCCTCGCATCAACACTGTCATCTTCTATCAAATTCAAGTCTCCCAGGTCATCTTCGTCCTCAACAGCTATGACATTGATCTGTTTCAACTTGCAAACATGACCAGTCCCCCACTTCTCCCCACATTTCCAACAAAATTGGTTGTTCCTTCTGTACTGAATCTCCTGGGGAGACAACCTTTTGAAAGGTTCCTTCTTAGTATTGCTGGAGTTGTTTCTGATCACATGCGATAGCCTGACAGGTTGACTATAAGTTTTGGCAGGAGAGGAATTAATTTGCTTGCTTTTTACTGCAAACTCCAACGTTTTTTCTTGAACAGTGGCAATTTCAAAGGCTCTTAGCAAGGTTGGTGGTTCCAGTAACCTTACCATCGGTTTCAACTCCTCCTTTAGACCACTGATGAAAGAGGAAATGAAATATCCCTCTTGTAAATGGGGATCCTTACATAATACCAAAGACTTGAGTTCTTCAAACTTTTCATGATTGTCCAAAACAAAATTGGTCTGTTGGAGTTTGTTAAACTCTTCTATCTCGTCTCTATCCCTCTTCTCACCAAATCTTTTGACCAATCCCGATGCAAATTCCTCCCAAGTCACTTTTCCTTTAACCTTTTTCAGGCTTTGGTACCAATTGTCAGCTTTCCCATCAAGATAAAGTTCTATAGCATCAAGCTTACTTTCCTCCGAGTCTTCGTAAATACTAAAATTTTTTTTCACATTTTCTCAGCCAATCTCTAGGGTTCTCACCACTAAAATTAGGTAATTCTAAATGAGGTTGGGACAACCAAACACTCTTTCCCAATTTATCCTTATCACTGCTACACAAATCATCCTCTAAATTGATTCGGGAAACCCTAGAAGGCGTAGGATGTAAACCCGCTGTAGAGGAAGAAGCAGGATTCTTACCATTTGGTGCCATTTCCTTTCTTTGTTCCGCCATCATCTTCATCATTTCAGTTATCTGGGAGGATAAGGCTTGGAATTGTCCTGCTTGAAGATCCACCTTCGATTCCAAATGAGAGCTCCAACTCGAAAGCCTTTCATCCATTTGCTTTCTCCAGTCCTTCATCTCCAAGATCTGGAGATCCTGCTTTTTCATATGCTCTTCTAGAGCTTTTGATCTAGTTTCTGTCATTTTACTAGGTACTATCGTTTATCAGAATCTAGCCAAGGAAAAACCAGCTCTGAAAACCATTTGTGATGGATGATTGATATATTAAGTTCTTAACAGTCAAATACTTAGCCGAATTGAGTAAACAAGCCAAGCAGTAGAAAGGAAAAAGAAAGAAGGAATCTTACTAAGAAAGGATGAACAAGACAGATTAGGATAGAGAAAGGTGGGAGCGTAGAAAAGGTGGGAGCGTATAGAAGACAAAAGGTGGGAGCGTATAGAAAAAGACAGCACAGCAAGATTTAAGGAAGGAGATCAATTCATCATAAAAATGCTTAAAAAACATCTGCAAATGATTTACACTTCTTTATATAATAACTAAACATAGATGATGAACCCTAATCGACTACTTCATCCAGCTGTAATCTTGGAGATGCTTCTGGAATGAAGCCTTGTCACCAAATCCACGTCTGCATGAGTGTATATGAGTCATCAGCTGCTGTCTTCGGCTCCAAGTTTGCAAAAGTTACTTAAGCAATAAAAGAAAAAGAAAGTTACTGAAATGGTGAGATGGTGAATAGTACTATCTCCCTTCCACAAAAATAGTCCAGTTTCAAAATGTAAAACTTTTTTAATTTGGTCAACCCTCCAATGTACAACTCATAATTATCTCCTAACCTTCCAATTTTACCCCCAATTTAAAATTTACGGTATTTGACAAATCTGGTCATTTTCCCGTTTCTCTCTCTTCATTTGACAAAGCCGGAGACTTTGCTGGAGACCTCTTTTTCTCGCAGTTTTCATCAAATTTCATCCCCCTCTCAGACTAAATAGGGGCCTGCCTAATTCTATTACAATCTATCTATCTGAAAAATGAACTCTAGGAATAAACACATATTATCCCATCGTTCTAATTGTTGCAGTAATAAAAACACGCAACCAGAGATTGCAAAAATTCCAATAAAAACACTCAAATAACACAAAATTAAAAGATATTCAGCAAAATTAACCAGTGAAAAGAATGAATTCCCCAATTACCAATTACACGCACAAACCCCCGGGGAAACAACCCTCTAAAAAAATCGGATGGAAACATACATAACCGACCATCTTCTACCCTCATCAACGGAGAATTCTATCTAATCACATAAGTAATGCAGGAATGCCATCCCTAAATATAAAGGAAACGGAAAAAACGAGACAAAAAAAATAAGTAAAGAAACTCCCTACCTTTATCCAAGAATTAACAAAAAAAAAAAAGACGAGAACGGAAATTGATGACGGAGGTGCCTCTGATCTCGATCCCCAAAGCAGTAGATCGGACTTTATTGACGGAAGCACCTCCTCCAACGTCACTGCGGGAGCTCGTCTACCAGCGTCGTCAAATTGATGAAAGTCGGGTAAATGAAGTACGTACTAATTTGTTTATCAGATAGGGTAATTGAGTCCTTCTACATGTTTTAATTTTGACTTTTTAGAAACTGGACTATTTTTTTGAGACAAGATTTTTTATTAAAGCAGATTATTTTTGTGGGACAGAGGGAGTATTAAAAAGTAAAACTACGTTAAAAAACTAAAAAATAAAATTATCCAAACAAAGCCTTAGTTGTTTTTTCTTATCGTATTCGAATTCATAAATTTTGGATAAAAATTTAGAGTTTAGGTTATTGAATGTGGATTGGGAACAAAAGCTCAGGGAAAGGTTATCTGAAGGTCGATCGGAAAACTATGTGCTTAAAGGAAGAGCAAGGAGGATTGGGAATTGCTCTTTTAATTCCTGCCAACGAACCACTTATGCTTAAACACAGATGGTCAATAATTTCAGATAATAATAGATTCATTTAGTTTTAATTGGTGAAGGTAAATGGTACCAAAGACCAATCTTTCTGGAGTATATCAATATCCTTTTCTTGTCCTTGGAGCTAGAGACAACTACTGAAACTAAGATCAAAGGTACGCCATCTATTTGTTCTGTATTGGTAATGGTGAAAAATTCTTATTGTGGTTGGATTTTTGGCACACTCTTGAAATCTTTGGTGAATGGTTCCCACGTGCTATTATTGTTTTGGGTGAGCCTAGGAGAAGCAAATTAAACGCTGTTCTATCTGAAGAAGGTTGATGTTGGTCCAATACTAGAGCTCCTGAGATTCAAAACATTGTTAATGACCTCCCTCCTATTGAGTTGAAAAGAGAGGACTGTGTACGTTGAAAACACTCATCTAGCAGTGAGTTCTCGACGTCCTCAGCTGTCGAGGTATTGAGGACTACCCAACCAATCTTTGAGATAGAAATAACTTTTGCATGATCTGGAAAAATACCTAGAAATAACTTTTTTTAAGCTAGTTTTTCGAGAAAAATTCCCTACAACTAATAAGAGTTGACAGAATAATAGTAATAAGATTTGGCAGCATAATAGTGGTCAGGTTTGCTTGCTTTGTGATGGTGAACTTGAATATGTCAAAATATATAAGTATCTTGGGCACCCCGCTCATTGCCATTAGGTTTTGAGATGGGTGGATTTTGAAACTTATAAACAAGTGATAAATCTTTCACGACAGCAATGTGGGATTCTTTGTTACAACACCCTCCCTCAAGTTCAATGAAGTATTTAGGTTAAGGCGCACAATAAAACATAATTTACCAGATATACTGCTGGGTCAGTCCACAACTTCGGATATAATGTCGGTCAGTCAACAAATCCATACACACGAGTCTACAATCCGGATATATTGTCGGATCAGTCCACAAGTCTGCACATACGGGTCCATAGTTATCACAGGTACATAGATCGTGGGCTCTGATACCATGTAAAAGTATATAACTACCTTGGACTCCCATCTCAAAACTAATTGGCAATGACTGAGGTGGGCTTTGGAACTTATAAACAAGTGACAGATCTGACAAGCCATCGTCACTACTAGTAAAATAAAATTACCTACTTAACACTAATATAGCGGAAAATTGGGTCGATCCCACATAGAAGGATACCAAGTACCAGGTTAAAATTATTTCTTATTATTATTTAGACAACTAGTAAAAATGATTTTAAATTAAACTAAACTTAAAACTAATAATTAAATCTAATTAATAAAATAAAAGAAAATCTAGGGCAAAGGGTTCACCAACCGACTACTCAGCATAAATCTATAGATATGTGACTTTGCACTTTCACTAATCTTACAATGATTCACAAGAATAAAAACTATTCACTGTCGTGATATAATTCTCTTACTTAAATTAACCCTATGACTACTGTCGTAACTATAGAATCTCTAGTTGCAAAGGCGGTGTTTCTACTATCGTGGCTCACTACCTAAGTCTAATATTCCAATGAACTAGTGCTAACCTTCAACTGCCGTTCCTTCAGTTAAACACCTTTAAAGTATGCAAGTGTGATCAAATACTTACATAGAATAAAAACAAGAATCTTAAATATCAAATAATTAAAAAGTCACAATCATAAATTAAGTTAAATTAAATAATACGGCATCCAAAACCCTAGATTAAATAGTTTAGCTACAATCATTTCAAAAATAAATAAAACAATGAAACCCGGGTCGAAGACAAGTCGCAAAAATTGAATATGAAAGCTTGGAGCTCCTTCGTGCTGCTCACTTCTTCCCTCGACGATGATGCTGCGCGGATGATGGTTCTGAATTTTGGTGCGTAAAAGGGCTCTTTTGGTGGTTTGGTGATGATGCGTGAGAATGATGATGGTGGAATAAGGTGGTGTGCGTGGGAGGTGATGGGCTGGGGTTTGGATTTTGGTGAAGGGTTTTGTGGCGTGGGGTTTTTAGGGGTGACGGCTAGGGGCTCCGGGTTCAAGAGGGTTGATGGTGTATGGCGGTGATGGAGAAGGGTGGAGGTTTTGGAGTTAGTTTGGTCAAGGTTCGGTGATGGACGTAGGGTGGCAGAGAGGTTTTAGTGTGGAGGGAGGCTTCCGAAAAACACCACCCTTGATTCTCTTTTATAGTTTTTTTTCCAAGCAAGCATCTTGCCCCCAAAGAAACGGATATGGGTTCGCCAAATACATCAAATTACTCACTTGGCCTATCATTGATTTGGTTAATCAAACCCATGCAAACTTCACTTTCTTGGTCAGTAACAAAACAAGACTCCCCAATATGCAGGTCTAATCCTTCAAGTCTTCAACTTCTCAACTTCCTCCTTCAATTCTTCAAATCTTCACTTAAGTCCAAAATTCTAATAATTTATCATTTAATCTTCTTAAAAAGAATTTGTTTACTGCACATTATTATATATTTAATTAAGTACCAAATTCAAATTGAAAATATAAATTTCTATAAAAACATGAAGAATAGGAGCATAAAATTATATTTAATATATCACTTATCAAGATCTTTCACAACGGCGAAATGGGATTGTTTGTCCCAATAGAATCGCATCAACATTTATTTTTTAAATACTCATTCTCAGCAAGGTGTATTTCCATTCTCCATCAAGAAGTTCAATTTCAATGGCCATACGCAGATTGGCAGCAAAGTATAATTGGGCATCAAGGAATTGAGAGAAGGAAACATTTGGTAAATGTGGCTTATCGTATTTTATTTGTTGTGGTGGTATATTTCTTGTGACAAGAAAGAAATCCACACAAATTTGAAAGAAAAAAGAGACCCCATATGATTAGGGATAGAGTTATACTATGAAGATATGAGATTCAATTCAAGCTACAGTAGTACGACATATTTAGAGAATTGTTTGGAATTGAGTGTATTTTGTGTACCTCTGTGTATTTTTTGTTTGGTGTTATGATCCTAGTTGTTTGTTAACTAGCTAAGCGAGGCATGAGAGGTCTTGTACTTCTTGTAAACATCCTATTTTAATGCAATTGATTTTTCCAATAAAAACAAGAAAAAAAGAAGGAAGAGTTTAAACTAAAACTAAGTTGATTGAACCTTGTCTCTAAAAAGTTGATTCTCTCGGCTGCCCCTCTCTCCCTCTCCAACCCTAAAACCCTAAAACAAATA